TACAGTATAAGATATTAAATAATAATGAGAATAGGCTCATGTTTTGTTTTATAGTATATCTGAAAAAAATTAACTTTGAAACATCCATAGAATCAACAATAAAGTGTATATTGAGTATCTTTTCCACAACCTTCACAACTTCTGAGTCCCATGGCCACGAGTACTCAAGACCTCTGATGTTCAGAGGATATCCCCCCACCCCACCCCCATTTTAACTACATGTCTCTCGTATTTTTAAATTCTAACTATTTGCATAAGGAATATAGAGTTGGATATGCCTTCTATTTCTATGTAGGATAAAGTTGCTGATCATATATGTTTCATCATTTTAGGATCCAATCCGTTTACTAGATTTTGAGCGCCAAATTTCCATATTTTTAAGGACCGAAAAGGAATTCGTAAGTAATTCAGTCCGGAGATCTACATCCTAGTTTGAAAACCTCCAACTTCATTTATTATCATCTCGAATGTTGATCTAAATTGTTATATTTTTGTCAGTTTATAATAAAGCTTTTTTTTCAGTCGATCGCCCTTGAATCTTTAGAAAGTTTGACCACGCAAAGCACTTCCAAAGTCACCCCCAAGAAGGTATACCATCGGAACCCCAAGAAAGAGCTGTGTGCGAGGTGGGAAGCTGTTGAGGTAAGGGTAATTTATATTTCTTTGTTTGAATTACGTTCCAAAGAATATTTGTTGCATTAAAATTTTAAATCTTCCTTCAAATTTATCTATAACTGTCTTACTTATATATAAGTTTAAATTAAGATTTAAATTCTTATAATGTAAACATTCCGGTATTTCACTCATACTGGAACTTTTCAAAGATGAGAAAAATTAACTAAATAATTTATATTTTGGTAACATAAATATTTTTTTTAAATACTAGGACCTTAAGACTAAAAGTGGAAACTACAAGGCAAAGTCTTCACTGCTAGGGGTAAGTATGTTTGAGAGAGGAAAAGCTGCATCATTGAATCTTTCTGTTAAGATGTCTACATTTATGAAATAATTTTTCCCTCGTCTTAGGATGTGAACAAGAGACATGGTCCGTACCAGACCAACAGTACCAAAAGGAATCATTCTGCTGCAACTGAATTGGTGAGCATTGGTTATTGTGAGATAATTTAATTTTGGTTGTAACGCGTCATTTGACTGGATAAAAAAATAGTTTATATCGCATAACGTGTTGCCTACATGTACGTCACAATGCCTTACGTCAAAACCTTATGAATCCGCTTGATGTTACATTTGAAATATGTACAATCAGGGGGCATTTTTGAAGGAGAAATTGTCCTATTTTCTACACTTAACTGCTTCGCGGTTTATAAAGCGTAAACTGCTGAACTATTACTTCATGAATATACTTTGTCTAGTTCATCCATGAGAAACTGATAATTAAAATTAAATTTTGATATCACCTGAACACGGTTCAAGTGATCTTTCCTGTTCAATATGTGTTATACAGTATGTATGAGATATGTGTTATACAGTATATATGATATATGTGTTATACAGTATATATATATATGTGTTATACAGTATACATGTATATATAAAATACATGTATGTGATATACAGTATGTATGATATATGTGTTATACAGTATGTATGATATATTTGTTATACAGTATATATGAGATATGTGTTACACAGTATGTATGATATATGTGTTTTACAGTATGTATGAGATAAGTGTTATACAGTTTATATGAGATATGTGTTTTACAGTATGAATGATATATATGTTATACAGTATGTATGAGATATGTGTTATACAGTATGTATGAGAAATGTGTTATACAGTATGTATGTGATATGTGTTATACAGTAAGTATGAGATATGTGTTATACAGTATGTATGAGATATGTGTTATGCAGTATATATGAGATATGTGTTATACAGTATGTATGTGATATGTGTTATACAGTGTATATGAGATATGTGTTATACAGTGTATATGAGATATGTGTTATACAGTATGTATGTGATATGTGTTATACAGTATGTATGAGATATGTGATATACAGTATGTATGCGATATGTGTTATGCAGTATATATGAGATATGTGTTATACAGTATGTATGTGATATGTGTTATACAGTATGTATGAGATATGTGTTATACAGTATATATGAGATATATGTTATACAGTATGTATGTGATATGTGTTATACAGTATGTATGAGATATGTGTTATACAGTATGTATTAGATATGTGTTATGCAGTATATACGAGATATGTGTTATACAGTATGTATGAGACATGTGTTATACAGTATGTATGAGATATGTGTTTTGCAGTATATATGAGATATGTGTTATACAGTATGTATGTGATATGTGTTATACAGTATGTATGAGAAATGTGTTATACAGTATGTATTAGATATGTGTTATGCAGTATATACGAGATATGTGTTATACAGTATATATGAGACATGTGTTATACAGTATGTATGAGATATGTGTTATACAGTATATATGAGATATGTGTTATACAGTATGTATGAGATATGTGTTATACAGTAATGAGATATGTGTTATACAGTATATATGAGATGTGTGTTATACAGATTGTATGAGATATGTGTTATACAGTATATGTGAGATGTGTGTTATACAGTATGTATGAGATATATGTTATACAGTATGTATGAGATATGCATTATACAGTATGTTTGAGCTATGTGTTATACAGTATTTATGAGATATGTGTTATACAGTGTATGAAACATGTGTTATACAGTGTGTATGAAACATGTGTTATACAGTATGTATGAGATATGTGTTATACAGTATGTATGAGATATGTGTTATACAGTATGTATGAGATATGTGTTATACAGTAATGAGATATGTGTTATACAGTATATATGAGATATGTGTGTTATACAGATTGTATGAGATATGTGTTATACAGTATGTGTGAGATGTGTGTTATACAGTATGTATGAGATATCTGTTATACAGTATGTATGAGATATGCATTATACAGTATGTATGAGCTATGTGTTATACAGTATTTATGAGATATGTGTTATACAGTGTATGAAACATGTGTTATACAGTGTGTATGAAACATGTGTTATACAGTATGTATGAGATATGTGATATACAGTATGTATGAGATATGTGTTATACAGTATATATGAAATAAGTGTTATACAGTATGTATGAGATATGTGTTATACAGTATATATGAGATATGTGTTATACAGTATGTATGAGATGTGTGTTATACAGTAATGAGATATGTGTTATACAGTATATATGAGATGTGTGTTATACAGAATGTATGAGATATGTGTTATACAGTATATATGAGATGTGTGTTATACAGTGTTTATGAAACATGTGTTACACAGTGTATATGAGATATGTGTTATACAGTGTTTATGAAACATGTGTTACACAGTATGTATGAGATATGTGTTATGCAGTATATACGAGATATGTATTATACAGTATGTATGAGACGTGTTATACAGTATGTATGAGATATGTGTTATACAGTATATATGAGATATGTGTTATACAGCTCGAACTACAAAAACAAGATCCTCTGGTTCCACAAATAACCACAACCGACTTGGTATGTGTCAGAGGATAAATACTTTGAAATATAGGCTTTAACTTTTCATACTATACATATAAAGTTGCTCACATGTAAGTCTCATCATTTCAGGAGCGCCAGACCTCTTTACTTCAAAAAGCCGAAAAGGAATACGTAAGTGATGCAGTCGGGTATATGGGTGGGGTGGGGTGATAAAACTGGCATCTGCAACTTATGAAAATATTCACTTTCATTTAATATCATAGATAATCAGAAGTTTGCTAAAACTCGTCAATCTTATTATCAGTTTATTATATTAAAAAAAATCTTTACAGTCAACCTCTCTCGATTCTCGGGAATCCTTGGAAAGCATCTCCGAAGCCACACCCGGCAAACCCTGTATTCGGAACCCTAAAAAGGAGTTTTTCTCCAGATGGAAAGCTGTTGAGGTAATTTTTATCTCTTTTGTTTGTTTGATTAACGTTTCTAAGACTCTTCCACCAATAATGTTAAGCTGATGATTACCGATGTAAGACTGCGCCCGGTACTTACAGGACCATAGTATATACATGTATGTAACATGAATATTCTTTTTGTTAGGAGGTGAAAACTAAAATAGGATCGTTGAAGGCGAGGTCTTCTATTCAGAAGGTGAGTATAATAGAGGGAGGACATATTGCATCATTGACCCTTTCTGTAAGGATGTCTGCATTTGTCAAACGATTTTTTCCTCGTCACAGGATGTGCTAAAACGAAAAGGGCCGTATACGACCAGTTGTATCGGCGGAAATTCTCTGATCAGTACTGACTTGGTGAGAATCATTTAATTACAGCTAAGTTAAAGTAACTCTCAATCTTACTACCAAGATACATTGTACTGTGTTCCTGTATAATAATTAACAATTTGTGCTCTGAATAAATGAATCGGAAACTCCGAGAAAAATAATATTGTTACCAGCTGAAGAGAGATAGCAATTGTTTCTTCTTAATTTTAATTAAAATCAATTCAATTAAAACTTGTTTATTTAAAAAGCTCCTGTTTAATGAGCATTACAATCAGTAATAAAATTTAGAGCTTTATGCTTTGTCTGTTTTAAACAGCCGAAGGCGCCCGAATAGCGAAAAAAGGCAACAATCAACTTGGTATGCGAGGTAAAGTTGATTTTTTTCTGTTTGAACAGATTCATAAAATATTTACATGCATTTGATTGTTTATGGGTATAATAAATGTCCATGTCTAAAACTCACCCAATCGTTTCAACATTGACACATATTTTTACAATATCATGGATATGTTTAAATAGTTGTTTAGATTTTTTTTTCTAAGATGTTAAATAGAGCTGAGATGATGATATATGATTTTCTCAATTGCTTACTTTTCTCATACTGGATGTTTCATTTATTGACTTTTTGATATATTTTTCAAAATCCATTCTAGATTAGAGAGAAGCAAATTTCTTATGAACAATGCAGAGAGGATAAATGCACCCCCCTTAAAACCCCCCAGAAACTGGAGAAATCAAGCCAAGATGAAAAGCCAAAGCCTGTGAGTACTCTCTTCTTATGAACCTTATGACCTGCCAAAATAAGGCCGAAATAATTCCAACTCGGCGTTAAGCAATGAACACTACTCAATATACCTTATGACCTAGTTCTGAAGTATTTTAAAAAAAAAAATTAAACAAGAATAAGAAATTGAAGGGTCTTTTTAGAAAGAAAGGAATCACAATTGCTTGTTTATATATATGGCAATATACATTAAATTTCAGAAACAGTCTAATAAAAGACCCAGACCGAGTTCTCCTTTCGCACCAAATAAAAAGTGGAAGCCATCCAAAGATGTAAGAGTTTTTGTGTGTGTGTGTGTGTTTTCCTGATTTGTTATTTTTTGTTTTTGTCTTTGTTTACTAGATAATAGATATTCCTATTTTTTTTCAAAAGAAACATTCAATTTTCATTTCAGTTTTCAAGACAAGAGAAGAAAGTTAAAAGACTGACTAGGCTTTTTAAGAAACTAAGGGTTGATAGTTAAACTCGTGTTTTTATCTATAATGTTAAAGGTTTTTAAATATTTTTTTCACCATTTTTAGCTCACCTGAGCTGAAAACTCAAGCGAGTTTTTCTGATCACATTTTGTCGGGCGTACGGTCTGTCCGTCTATAAACTTTTCACATTTTCGACTTCTTCTCCAGAACCACTGGGCCAATTTCAACCAAACTTATCAGAAAGCATTCATAAGTGTATGGGATTCATGTTTGTTCAAATGAAGGGACACAACCTTTTTTAAGGGGAGATGTTAAAGAATTGGTGAATATTTGGTGTGATCTTTTGAAATCTTCTCAAGAACCATTGTACCAAAAATGTTGAAACTTATGTAACCAACATTACATGATGTAGGCTCATGTTTGTTCAAATCATTTACCTGGCGATTAAGGTGGGGCCATAATGGGAATTCAAAGTTTTACATAGGAATATATAGGGGAATTTTTTTTAAAAATCTTCTTCTCAAGAACAACAAAGTCATGATTAGTCATATTGTTATGGAAGCATCCTTAGGAAGTGTAGATTCAAGTTTGTTCAAATCATGACCCTCGGGGGTTGGGTGGGCCACAATGGTGGATCAAAGTCTTACACATGAATATATAGGAGGAAAAAAAAATCTACTGATGATGAACGGCAGAGGTATATTGACTCAGGTGATCGTTGTGGCCCATGAGCGTCACCCTTCAGCAATCTACATAACCGCCAGCAGCGCGGGCGCGATTGCAAGCGTTTTATTGTTGGGCAGCAGAGGCCATATAGGCAACACATCGCCCATTTCATGCAGCAAAGAATATTTGTTATTATTACTTTTTTATGATTTTGTACTTTTTTGTTATTTGAAAATTTTTGGTGCATTTACATTTTTTTTAAAATTTTTGTTGTCCTGTTTTTAACCTATTTGTGGATTCACAGAAAAATTTGGTACATGTTATTTACTGATTGATTTACATGTATTTCATTTAATGAGATACTTGTTGTATGTTTTGTTGTTGTTGTTAGTTACACGTTTTTGTTGCTTTTTCCATTGATCTTTTTACAAAGTACTTATCAATCGAAATGGTTGGTACATTTATTTTATTTTGTTAAATTGATCGACTTAATTTATTGAAATCCTTGCATCTTTTTTCTGTGATACTTTATTTGAATGTTATTTATTAAAATGTTAGTTTATTTCTTTTTGTTGGTGTTTTTGTCTATTTTTTAGGTCACCTGAGTCACCGCTATCTGTTTTAGTCCGTCGTCGTGCGTCGTCCAACGGTCGTAAACTTTTGAGCATTTTTAGCTTCTTCTATGGAACCACTGAACCAATTTCAACCAATTTTGGCATATAGCATCTATGGGTGAAGGGGAGTAAAAATTGTGAAAATCACGGCCCCTGCCCCTCTGGGGCCTGAGGGTTGGGGCTAAAACCATCAAAATTAATGCAATCCTTAAAAATCTTTTTCTTTACTCCTAGACATCAAGCGAACTGTTGACATGATTGTAATAAGCATAGAGCCTTCTATCGAAATTGTGAAATTCATGGCCCCAGGGTCAGGGGTGGGGCTCTAATGATTATATAGTGAAAATGCATTAATTCCTTAAAAATCTACTCTTCTGCTCTTGGGTATTTAGCCAATGAACAAAGTACATAGTTATGATGAGGAAGAGTGCCTCTTCCAAAATTGTGATTTTTATGGCCCTAGGCCTGGGTCTGGGGTTCTTGTGTTTGGGCAGGGCTCTAATGATTATATGAAGAAAATACATTAATTCTTTAAAAATCATCTCCTCTGCTCCTGGGTATTAAACCGATGAACTATGTACACAGTTATGATGAAGAAGAGTGCCTCTTCTAAAAAAAAAAATGAATTTCATGGCACCTGGGTCAGGGGTCCTGGTGTTAGGGCAGGGTTCTATTGATTATATAGTGAAAATGCATTAATTCTTTGAAAATCTTTTTCTCTGCTCCTTGGTATTAAGCCGATGAACTAAGTACATAGTTATGATGAGGAAGAGTGCCTCTTCCAAATTTATGAATTTCATTGCCCCTGGGTCAGGGGTTCTAGTAATAATGCGGGGCTCTGGTGATTATATAGTGAAAATGCATTAATTCTTTGAAAATCTTTTCCTCTGCTCCTTAGTATTAAGCCGATAAACTAAATACATAGTTATGATAAGGAAGAGTGCCTCTTCCAAAATTTTGAATTTCATGACCCCTGGGTCAGGGGTTCCGTGGGGGTTGCTCTAATGATTATATAATAAAAATGCATTGATTTTTTGAAAATCTTCTCCTCTGTCCATTGATATTAAGCAGACAAACTAAACACATAATTATGATGAGAAAGGGTGCCTCTTCCAAAATTGTGAATTTCATGGCCCCTTGGGTTAGGGGTTCTTGTGCTTGGGATGGGCTCTATTAATTTATTAGCAAAAATGCATTTAATGCCTTGAAAATCTTCTCTGCCCCTGATTACCAAGCAAACAAACTAAATGCAATAATATCAATGTAAATGTATTAAATATAATTATAAGTAAATGTGACTTCTCTTTGCTCCTGGGTATCTAGGAGGCAAACAGAGCACACAAGTGAGAGTTACTTCCCTTTGCTAGATGTTGTTAATCAAAAAATCCTTGTATATATTCTAATTGATAGATTATTTGATTGAATGAGTATACAAGAAAGAATGTTATGTATATAGAAACAAAATAATGAGGAATGTTTAATTTAAATGAGCAAAGCATGCTCAAAGTCAGAATCTTGCCTGGAAAGCAACATAAAAGATTGGCATAAAGATCATTTATGTATTTAGCAAAAGTTGTTATCGTGCACGGTATGATTATACTGTGGTGATCTGTTTGACATTAGGTGAGTTATTGTCACTGAGAGAGTCATGGTTGACAGAAGACAGTCAGGATAAAGTTATTTTACACTTTATCAAAGTGAACAAAGAATCACAGAGAGCCAGTGTGACTTGTTGTAATTAGTGGCAAATAGCAACGTTATATAGCCAAGTCTCTGTGTACTGAATTGTAGCACTAGGCATGTGACATAAATTGAATACCTTACACAATAGGCAAGTGTCCATTTTATTACATTTTCAACAGTGAAATACTGTGATTTATTCATTGAATAAAAGTGATATTCTCTCACAGCGTGAAAGGATACATAAGTGGTATTCTCTCACAGTATGAAAGGATATCAAAGTAAGTAAAATATAATTTCTGGTATGTAATAAGATTGAAATAGTGACTAAACCATCTTGACAGAGACTAAAACTGCCAATTTCTTCCCAAATATGTTGCTAAAATCCATGTTACAATGTCTTGTCATCTTACAACTGCTAAGCCATGACGTCTCAACTGCTCAACTATGACGTCACACAATTACATGGTGTTAAGAAAAGACAGAGGCAAAGGGAAAATCAAACAAAATGTAATAAATAGAAAATTCAATGTTTTGTAGTTGGATATGGAATTTATTTCACTCGTGAGACAGGATTTTTTGATATTTTCACTCGTGCTTCGCACTCGTGAAAATATCAAAAAATCCTGTCCCACTCGTGAAATAAATTCCATATCCAACTACAAAACATTGAATATTCTCTATGTATTTGTATACTTTGCTTTCATTATTATCCCTATAAGACTTGGGAAAACCAAGTATGATCCCAAGGATCACTCGGTTCTAGCACGTTACAATAATAAGCAAGGGTAGTTTTACCAGATTTATGAAATTCATGGGCAACATTGCTTTGTGAAATTGTCTATCAGTTAATCTTGTTTTATACTTCTATGGATCCTTTACAGTGTTGTATTATACTCAGGTGACCATTAAGGCCCTTGGGCCTCTTGTATGTACTTGTATATGCTAGTGCATGTGATGTTTTTTTTTTCCGAGGTGATACATGTAGTGCATTTATTTTATTTTATCCAAAGGTATTTTTTTAAAATCCCTTAAATTTTCAGAATTAACTATTCTCTCATTTAAAAATGCTTATACTTAGTCTAGTATTTTGGTATATAATATTTTTTGTTTAGTTATTTTTGACTCTCAGGTTAAATTGATTATTTTCGTCATTACTTTTAATCATGATTGATTTTCCCTGGTTAGAATCTTTTTTTCAGGGAATATTTTTACCTCTCAACGATAACAACGAATAATTTGATGGGCAAGTATATTTGAAGATGAGTTATACATGTAAGTAGAATTTATTTTTCAATAAAGTGCTTGAAAAATGTTTAGTTTGTGTGTTGTTGTTTGTTATATTTTTATTATCAATATATTGTACACTTTACACAGTATAGATAAATTTTAGAAAGAAAGCAGAGCAAGAAGGTTGTGCCTCTCATATCTGTAAAGTGTTACCCCCCTCCCCCGAAATAGCTTCGTTTGCGTCTGTGCTATTATTCTTTATACCAAATATAGAACAGAAAATGTGTTTAAATTAACGTAGAGATGTGGGACAACTTTTTAAACTTCTTCTGAAGCAAAGGAGCATTATAAATGTGAAGAACTGCGAACGATAGTATTGTTCTGCCGCCTATCTCCAAGTCGATTTTATAACACAATTTTTATCAAACAATCAAATTAAATCAAAAATCATGAAAACTTTACCCAAGAAGCTTTTTTTTTTTTTTTTTTTTTTTTTTTACATGTAAATTAGATCTTGACTTAAGGTCAACTTTCGTAAAGCTACTTTTGAGATAAACACAATAGATTTATACTTCATAACTAGAAAAGTTACTGAAATTTACACAATTCAAAACTAGAGGTTCACGGAATTCAATACCGACGAGTGTTTCACAGTACTAGTACAACTGCGGACATTTATTCATGACAACCATTTTCTATTATTTATAGTCAGAAAGCTTACCCACCAACTTCCTAATTTGAAAAAGATCTGATAAAAAATCAAATACGTGTGAATTTATTAAAAAAAAAAATATGCTCACATGTTCCTATTAAATTTAAATAAAAA